ACATTTTAAGAATCTGCAGATCAGCTGTACTATGTTTTGGGGATTCTTTAGTGCTGTTCATTATTTATAGAATACTTTAATGATAACAGGACACTTTGCAGATGGCCCAGGAAAGTCAGCCAGTGGCCTGAACAGCTGACAGTGTAACCAGCTAAATACAGTGCCCCAGGGAGAATAGATCAAGTGGCTGCATAGATTTATAATTTTCTGTAAGATTGCAAATGCGGCTTTTTGGAGCAGTAACACAGACCATCCCGATGGAACCACTTGGATTTAAATGTGTGCTTACTGAAGAAAAACTCCTGCTGAATTTTGTGGGACTTACTATGGGGAGGAAAGGAAGAATTGGGCAGTTCCTACGCTAATACAGTTTGCCCTTGGTGTCTGCTGCAATTTGGTTCCAGGACATGCATTCCCCCATGGATACCAAAATCTGTGAATGTTCAAATCCCATTAAATGCAGAGGCATAGCAAAATAGTGTTCCTTATATAAAATGGCAAAACCAAGGTTTTCATTTGGAAATGTATGTATTTTTTAAAATATTTTCAAGTTATGGATAGTTGAATCTGTGGATAAACAATCCATGGATATGAATTGTATAGCTAGATGTATTGTTGGACTTTGGCTTGGCAGTATTTTAATGTCACTTAAGAACATGAAATCTGAAGGATCACCTCATGAAATATAATCCTGCTAAATTACTGCATTCCGTACCTGCAATCTTGTTGTCCATCCCTTCATTTTCAGAATTCAGCCTTTTTTGTTGTAGGACTATGCAAATTGCTTCTTAGCCCCCACTTTTTTTCCCAGTTTCATTGAGCTGTGAAATCCCTTGTATTTAATTAGGCTTTTATTGTCAGTTAACATTTTGTTTCTCTGTTACTTGTTCTTGGTTTCATAGTATGAAACAGATTTTAGTAATTTGGACTATTTTTATTTTGTAATTTATGCACTCTTTTTAAAATTTTTTGATAATAAGCTTATTTTATTTTTTTGATAATAAAAAGAGGGTGATTAATTTTTAAAAGCATAATATATACATCCCTATTGTAAAAGTCTAGCTTTGCTTAATAAAGTCTTCTCTTTTTCAGATGGAACACAGTGTCAAGCAGGTTAAGCCAACAGTGTTATCATGTCTAGCGTTAGGAGAGGTTCATCATTTTGCTGCTGCCAGGACTCTTCTAAATTTCTTGTTGGAAACTTGAATAAACCAGGGAATCCCAGTACATGCTTATTTAGTGAAACTTTAATCACAGATGCATTCAAAATACGGTACCTCAGTTTTTTGAGTCGCACTCACCCTGTTTTCAGAACAATAATATGCTGTGGAGTACATTTTGGGTATTGTTTCTATAACCAGAAGTATCTTGGATATAGTGCTGAGATTTATTTCTGCCACAATGCTGTGATCTACTAGCATAGATTTTCACCTTCTTGTTGTTGTTGTTGTCGTTTCCGACCCTAATGCCTATCATGGGAGTTTCTTGGCAAGATTTGTTCAGAGGAGGTTTGCCATTGCCTTCCCCTGAAGCTGAGAGCTTGCGACTTGCCCAGGGTCACCCAGTGTTTCTTGGTCCAGCTGGGAATCAAACCCTGGTCTCCAGGGTTGTAGTACAACACTATAACGACGCCGGCTCACCTTCTTGACATATGGAATAGTAGAAGCAGACAAGAAATTCCTCTCCCTACAAAAATAAATTCAGGGTCCTAGGCTTCTGTTAAACCTGCTGGAGTCCATATTAGGTTAGTTCCCTGTTCTGCAGCTAGAGCAAGAATTGGCAGTGCAGTTTCCAAGTGTCTTGTGTACACCTTTTACTCCCTAAACAAGGCAGATTTTTTTCCAGAAGTGTGTCTGTTTTGAAGGAAAGCACACTTTCCTACAAAAACATTGAGATCCTGAAAATAATAATAATAATAATAATAATAATAATAATAATAATAATAATAATAATAATTTGTATCCCGCTTATTGCCAGACAATCCAAGTGGCTTACAATAAATACAGTTGTGCATCAACTCTGCTAGTTCCTTGAGATGTTCATGCTTAATTTATTGGAAAATTATGCATTCTTTCAGTCTATTTTCTGATAGTTTGTCATGAAGTAACACAAGGCTTACTCCAAGTACTAAACTGTTGAAAAGGCACCTTTGGGAGACAAGCTTAGATTTGAGTTTGATGCAACTCTCTGCTATCAATCAAATGTATAGAGACCCCAGAGTTGCCATTTAGGAATTCGCATTTAAATCCAGTTATTCTTTAAAATAGTCCCCATTTTACAGAAAATAGTGAATCCCTGTTATGAGATTTCGCTGGAAAATGTGAAGAATAAAGGAAGAATAAATTAGTATTGCATGGAAATTTGAGATGTTCAGTTTTTGCTGTGTGTCTCATTTCTGTGGGCACAAAAATGCTATTGAAGCCCTGTATGTATTTCTTTGTGCATCTTGGCAAATATTTGTTTTCTAATTAATAATGCTGATGTTTAGCATTATGACAGTACATTTCAACAGTTATTTCCCCTCCTGCTGCATCACACTGGCCAATCAGGGATCACTTAGTAAGCACAGTATATTTCCATTATGGTGTAATCGACCACTTTTGACTGTGTGATGGCCTCGCTGGGGACAATTTGCTGTACATACTAGAAAGAGATGTGAGAAATCATTGGAAAGAGTGGAGAAGGGAGCAATCTGTTGGGAGGCAAAAATGTTTGCAAAACAAGCTTCCCCATTTTAGGTCATTATTAGAATAAATGTATACTTTAGCTTTTGCAAAGTGGCACTGCTTAAGATAAGATAGACATTTTGTTGGAAGATTTTTGCATTCTCTTTCCTCCTCTTAGATAGATAGGGATTTCCTGCTTGCAAACTCCTCCCTTTCTCTTTCTCATTAAAACTTACCATGTGACTTGGGTCACTCCCTCTTTGGGATTAACAGACACACTCAAGATTTTCAGCTGAGCTGTTCCCATCTTCCTGCTTTCTTAACTTTCTTTTGAAAGATGGTGAGATAAATATTTCTCTTTACCTATAGTTAGATTAGGATATAGCCTTTTATGTAAATATAGGTTAAAGCCATTGTTTTAAACTATAAACTATGTGTTTGTTGTTTTTTTGGAGTCACTCTCAGTTCTTAGGGAAGGTTAGGGGGGAAGCAGACTGGCGTCACGGGGCCGCCCTGGGAAGGTGCACCGCGGGACCAAGGCATCCCCATGCCTCGATCCTGCGGCGCACCTTCCCCGTCCCTAAAATAGCGCTCCTTTCACAAGTCAGTGAAAGTGCGCCACAAAAGCTTGCGGCGCAATTTCACTGACTTATCCGCCGCAGCATGTCCAGACGCTGCGGCGGGAGGTTGCCCCCGGAGCGCCAGCCGTGCGGAGGGCCAGCGGCTCCGAGGGCAACCTTGGAGGAGGAAGGGGCGCTGAGCGTGCGGCTGCCCCTCCTCTTCCCTGCCTCCAGGACGGCTTTTTAAGCCGTCTGCCGAGGCCCTTAGTTAGGCAAAGGCACATATCTGCTACTCTGCTAATTTAAAGCCAGACTAACAGGCTTGGCTTTCTTTCATATTTTGATATTTAAATATTTCTTGTTTCCTTAAAAAGGCTGAAACCTTAGGAAACTTAAATTATCCCAAAGATTTGTTTCTATCTTGACTGCTAAGATAATTTTCCTGCGACTTTTCAAAGATTCTCAAATTGTATTACCCCAAACATGTTGGCAGTTTATTATTGGAAAGTCTCTGAAAACCTGATAAATCTGGGGCACATGCCTACTGGTTAAGAAGGAGAAGTGGGAGCAGTATAGGTTTTCATGCTGCCAACGTTGCTTTTAATTTTTAGCCATCTTACAAGTCCCCTGCATTGTACTTTATTTAATGGCATAAAGGGCACTGTATTTTGCTTAGGGCCTTTGCAGACTGCCAGAATAATTTAGATTGAGGTCACTTTAACTGTCCTGGCTCTGTGCTAAGGAATCATGGGAATTGTATTTTTTTTTTTTCTGGGAGATTGAGCCTTCTCTGTCAGAGAGGTGCCACAATAAACTACAGTTCCCATGATTCCTTAGCACTGACCCAGGACAGTTAAAGTGACCTCAATCTGCATTATTTCTGGCAGTCTGCAAAGGCCCATTGTTGCATGAAGAAAAGGTGTGATGTGATACAGCTCACTTTTCATTTGTTATATTTGTATATGTAACACTTGTATTGAAAGTCTGAAATGAGGAAAGAGATACAGTATATTTTATAAGATTGTTTTCACACTTTTGGAGGGGGATGATATGAGTATACTGGTCCAAGGGAGATTAAAGGTAGTTCTGTTTATATCTGGGGTTCCCAACCTGGGATGCCTACCCCCCCCATGAGATGGAATTTTAGGGCATGCAACAAAGAGAGGTTTGTGTCCTTGAGTCATGAGAAACTCAGCCAGCTAGCAGTGTGCCTTGAGAAGTTGTAGTTCATGATTGTGTTGTTTAGATAGTAGTCTCATTATTTAATCAAAGGGATTGCTCAGTTTAGATTTGCATTTTATGCACTAAGATAAAAGCTTATTTTTTAAAGTTCAATTTGTTCATCCACAGTATTGTATGTAGTTCAATTTGCAGTTTAAAAAATATAAATTAGACTTCTTCATCTTCAAATGTGATAATAGTTTTGTAGGAGGTGCGAACATTAACCAAACATTTCCTAAGGGTGTGAGGCATATAAAAGGTTGGCATCCACTGGTTTAGATGGGCATAGGTTGGCTCATTGAGTTATGATGTCCATGGGCCTATCCTCTGCTCCTCCCCTTTCCCTTTCCCTTCCTTTAAACCACAAGTTGCAGTTCAGCCAGAGCCTGTAATGAACTAAAGTTTCCTTTTTCAATTAGTTTCCTGTATTTTCCAAATTTGGAAATTGGGGATACCAGCTTTGAAACAAGCTAGGATACTAAGCCGTGGTTTGAAGTTGGTTGAATACTCTTTGAATACTCTTTAATTTTTGGAAACCAGTAACGTAGTGTGAGCCAGCATAGCTTAGTGGTTTGAATGTTGAACTAGGACTCTGGAGACTAGGGTTTGAATCCCTGCTTAGCCATGGAAACCCACTGGGTGATCTTGGGCAATTCACACTCTTTCAGCTTCAGAGAATGGCAATGGCAACCCCCCTCTGAACAAATCTTGCCAAGAAAACCCCATGGTAGGTTAGGGTCACCATATACTGGAAAGAACTTGAAGGCACACAAAAATAACAACATTGTTGTGTTCCTGTTTGAATGAAATGGAAAACTATAGTTAATTATTGTTAAAGTAGTCTCTTCTCACTAGAAGCGAAGATGACTAAACAAAGGCTATAGTATTTTGGACATATGCGGTAACATGATTCATTGGAAAAAGTGATAATGCTTGATGAAATGGATGGCAGTAAGAAAAGGGAGACTGCACTACAGATGGATTGATTCAGTCGAGAAAGCTACAGCCCAGAGTGGCAGGGAAGGTGATGGCAATTAATGGTCTTGGGAGTTTCTCACTTATAGGGCCTCTAATAAACTGAAGTTGATTTGACAGCAAATAATAGAAACACAATTCTTTCTTTAATTGCACCATGAGTGAAGGGATTTTCTAGATGAGGAAAAAAAACCTAGCATTTTTCTTGGCTTCATATGGTTATCCAGAATGGCTCTGTGTAGAAACATGGTGTTTTCCAGCAAGTGACCTTCTATATAAGTAGAGAAAATAGTACTCTGTGTAGGATAATTCCCAGAAGACCTGAGCCATTTTCTGAAGCCAGTTTGGGCATGGGGTGACCTGTTTCTCTATGGAAATCATAGCTCAAGCTTTGCTGTATCAAAACAAAATAAAATAGAAATGCTTAGAGCACCTGTTGAAGGTACATGCTCTTCACGGTGTGGCGGCTGGTACTGGCATTTATCTGTCCACTCACAGCACTACAGGTGATTGGTGCTGTCAAAGTTGATAGCATCAACTATCTGTTCAGCAACTGAGATTCATACGCCAGCAGCAAACATTTGCCCTACTGTTGTGTGCAAGGATCTCAAATCTGAGACCAAAATACCACATTCTCTCTCTCTAGACTACAACAGATCAGAACCAAAATCTGGAGTGAAGGCAAACTAGATTCCCTGCTCCCATCTTTGTCTCTTCTGCTTCTTTCTCTTCCTCCCCTCTTTGTAACTTGCCTTAGAAGATGATAACAGGTTACTGATTTCTCTAAGACACCTGCAAACCATTGTAATAATAGCAAAAAGGATTGTGGTACAAAGTTGGAGCCATTTTAGCAAAATGTGCATCTGTTTCTTCACTAATTTCAAGCACAAAATACCCCATTTACTTATGAATATACTGTGAGGGGAAAATATTAACTTCCATCTAAACACATTTTGCTTGCAAAGATTCTCCCCATCCTCAGCTGTTGGCAACTTTGTTGAGGAATGAATTAACAAGGCATTATATATCAGTCTACCTTTATTTTCTCTTGTGCTGGTATTTGTGATGTTTCAGTTTTGAAGTTTGCACTGTGTTTGTATGTGTGTTTCTTGCCTGCCTCAAACATGGTGCCGATTAAACATTCATAGGGGCAATCCATTAGGAGGAATACAAAAGCACTGAGACAAAAGAAAACCACCAAACGGTTTTGTTCAAATTAACCCCGTTCTCCAGCTGTTCCTTCTGCTTTTCTGTCCTTTGTGGTTGGAAAGTTGAAAAGGTCCCCACGATGATATGGCTGATACCTTTTGTGTGCAGAGCAGCTTGAAAGCAATCTTGAGTCAACAGGGAAGCAATATCTTCTTAGAGCTTCTGACTTATATTACTTTCGTGATCTCAGGTATGAAGGAGATAAAAAGGGCAAGGGTTTAGTGTAGATTCTCTTGAAAGCATGTAGAGTTCTTGAAGTAGTAATAATGAGCAGATTAAAACTGATATTGGTGAGACTTAGATGATGGGGAGGTACATGATTTCAGCTTTTGTCTGTTTCATTGAGCAAGGTAGGCTGCATCTGGCTATCAAGAAAAGCTAACTTCTAGCAGCATTTAAGCTTTGGAGAAACACTTTCTACAAGATACACTGACCAGCAGGTTCAAACAGTTGTACCATCCTCCCCTACCTCTGTTGGACCATGAGTATTTCCTCATGTCCATTTCAAGTTTTGGTGCAAAGCTGTCCTTTCAGTTTGTGGAGTCAGAAACATAAATCATTCAGTTATCTCCTTACCAGCATTGGCTGTAGTCACACAGCTACCCTGCCAGTATCACTTTTCTGATATGTTCAGGATAGCAGTGATAATACAAGTGGTGAAAAATGGTGTCTTCATGCCTGTGAGAACAGTGCTTTTTCACTGTCGTATCAAGTGAGCCCTTGGATATCTGCACTTGGGTATCTTTCCTACAGTAGGAGGTTCCCTATCCCTGAAGTAGGTTTTATTATCCTATGTTGAAAGCTGAGATCAGATCTCAACAAAATTAAATTCAGAGTTACATTCAGGTTAAATTCAGAGTATATTTAAATTCAGATATATTTAAGACAGTTCAGCAAATGTTGAAGGGAATTCGCAATATGGAGGGGGGAAGGAAGTGAGGGTGCATGTGGCTTGGTCTTAATATCTTGAGTATGTAAAATTATTTTACTGGTATAGGTGCTGCAGTCAAATGAACTAGCCTCAGACTTGTTTCCTTCCTTCAGCTTGGTGTGTTTACAAGGAGATCAGGAGCACTTGTTGTTGTTGTTAATTTTATTATTTATTTACTTTAGGCAGTTTCTGTAACAACAAATTAAAATGTTTACAAATGTTTTATTTTTTATTAAATTTTAATTAAACATTTAAAACAACATATATAACACATACATTTAAGAAAAAAGACTAACATCTAAAATTTGCAACAAACGCTAAACACTATTTTAGACATGGACACTAAACATATAACCCTCCACCCTCCAGCCACTTTACATCACAATATTACAAAATTTAACATTAAAACTAAAATTTGAACTTCCTTGTCTTCGGTTTTCATTCTTAATATAGGTCAACTGAAAAAACATGCTTCTTAATTTAGAACTACATTATTTTCCTGTTCTGTCGCTAGTAATATTTTTATATCCAACAGAAATCAAACCTTTATTCTAGCCCTAAAAAGTAGCTACCGGTATTATTCTTATGCTCTTTCAAGTAATTAATAAATGGATCCCAATCTCTACATACTTGTTTGGATGTTTTTCCATGTAACAATTTAGTAAATTTCAGTCTCCATAAAATCATAAAATTTAATAACCCAGTCATTAATTAACGGGCAGCTCTCATCTTTCCATTTTGCAGCAAACAACGTTCTTGCTGCCGACATCATATACAATAGGATAGTCTCATGTTTCCTTCTTAGATTGCAATCTGTCACCATATTCAATAAATACAACTTAGGATCTAAATTAAATTTAATTTTTATCATCTCCTGGATATATGCATGTAAAAATGTTTACAAATATTTTAAAACCAATTCAAAATCATGCATTAAAACACTATGAAGCTGATTAAAAATCATACAAAAGTTAAAAACAGATAATACATTTATAAAATATGCATCCATATTAAGAGCCATTAAATCTTGCTTAAATAAAAATGTTTTTGCTTGCTGGCGAAAGGAAAGCAGGGTAGGGGTCAGCCTAGCTTCCCATGGAAGGACGTTCCAGAGAGTGGGAGCAGCCACCAAGTGTTCTCACCAAGCAAGCCTGTGATGATGGTGGGACTCAAAGAAAGTCTTCCCCTGATGATCTTAAAGCTCTGGCAGGTTCATATGGGAAGACAGGACCTTTCAAATAGTCTGGAGCTAAGCAACATAGGGCTTTATAGGACATGACCAACACTTTGAAACACTTGTTTATGTTTCAAACTAACTGTGGTTTATCATCATGCCCAAACTGGGACAAATGCTGGTTATTTTTTAACAATGATTGGTTTGAACAAGCCAGTTTCAAACTGGGCTTTACAATCCAGACTTGTTGGAATGAAACATAGGTTATAACTATCCACAGTTTTTAATTTGAACATAAATGGCAAACTGTGCTTAGCTGAAAGTGAAAGCATATGCTTCTAGTTTGTAACTTGAACAAAGGAGGATATTAGAAGTATTGTTGGTTCCACCTCTTAAGAAGATGGTGGGGTGACAAGGCTTTTGTGTGTAACACTAAACTACGTTTTAATGTTCTGTCTGAACATGTTTTAATGAACCAGGCCAATGGGCAGGTACAGTGACTTTTATATAGGAAACAGCCAGTGCTCAGAATATATTTTGTATGTTTTTATACATGCAACATATACTTACTGCTGGTCCTTAAAAACAACAACAACAACAACACTATACAGAATCCAATTCAGATTGTAATGGATCATTGTAGATCTCTGATTTTGATGTATCTGGATTTGTGATTTAATTCCAGGAAAGGTAAATCGTTAGGCTAAATTTAGGACAAGACTCTTCAGAGGCTTCTACTACATTTAGCCAGGAAAAAATTAAATACACAGATCTAGGATGGGGGACACCTGGCTTGACAACAATTCATGTGAAAGGGATTAGGAGTCCTAGTAGACCACAAACTGAATATGATCCAACAATGTGATGTAGCAGCTTAAAAAGCCAATGCGATTCTAGGCTGCATCAATAGAAGTTCAGTGTCTAGATCGAAGAAAGTAATAGTGCCACTCTTTTCTGCTTTGGTCAGGCCTCACCTGGAATACTTCATCAGTTCTGGTCACCCCAATTCAAGAAGGATGTGGACAGGCTGGAGTGTGACCAAAGGAGGGTGACCAAAATGGTGAAAGGTCTGGAAACCATGCCTTATGAGGAGAGACTGAGGGAGCTGGGTATGTTTAGCCTGGACTAAAGATGGTTAAGAGGTGATATGATAGCCCTGTTTAAACTTTTGAAGGGATGCCATACTGAAGATAGACCAAGCTTGTTTTCTGCTGCTCCAGAGACTAGGACACAGAGCAATGTATGCAAGCTACATGAAAAGAGATTCCACCTAAACATTAGGATGTTTGACAGTGGAACACACTCCCTTGGAGAGTGGTGGAGTTTCCTTCTTTGT